CTGACTGCCTTTATTCCCTGCATGCAATGCCACACAAAACTGGGGACAGAGTGCCATTTGAGGCTGTGCCCAGTGCCTAGCAGAGCACGCACACAAAGCAGGTGTGAGAGAGATTTGTCAAATGGCAACACCAGTGAGCCACTGAACCCTTCAGTGTGCCCAGCGTGCTTTTAGGGAACCAGTGCCCAGAAGCTGTAAGCTCCGCTGCTCTGGGGTAGAGCACCTAGAAAACACACGGCATAAAGGAAGCTCTGAAATGGTGACTGTCCTAGTCTGTGTCGGGGATCCCCTGGGGTTTGAAGGAGGAGGGAAAATCGGAGTTTTTGCTCCTGGTCTTTGTTCCCAGGCAGCAGAGCTCAGAGCCAGGGCTTTCAAACCTGGTCGGTGGCCCTAGGCCAGCTGACAACGAGCAGCACATTCATATGTTGAAAGCACATTCGGGAATTCTTGGCCACCGAGCCTCCCTGTTCCCATGGCAGGTGAAGTGAAAGGGAGAGGCAAACCGCACCTCTCCCCCAACCCTGTCAACCCAGGAAACAAGATTAGGACCTCGCTCTGCCAGCTGAAACAGTTAAAGTGCAGTGCCAGTCAGACAGAGCAGGAAGTCCGGGAAGGCATAAACCAGTGGAGGAAACAGGCTCCCACCCTGGAGGTTTCATCGTTACTGGAGCGGGTAGTAGTGGCAGTCGTTGCAGCAGCTACCATTTATCAATGGTCCATGTGCCTGGAAGAACTAAATACCACAAGGCAGGTATTACCAATTGCATTTTACAGATGAAAAATAAAGATGAGCCTCAGAGAGTGCAAAGGCTTTGTTCCAAGCCACATTGCGAGGAAGCAACAGAGTCAAGATTCAAAACTACGCCTGTTCACTTCCAAAGCCCACACTCATGACCACTAGGCCACAGTGAGGCAAGCAAAGGATGCCAGAGTCCTGATCCTTCCATCCTACGGATGAGAAGCCTGAGGCCAGAGGCTGTCCATGGTATACAGATGGCTCAGAACAAGCGATATCTTCTTCCTAAGGAACAGGGGTGGTTATGGGATAATGGAAGAGCAAAGGGTTCTGGAAAACCTGAGATCAGTACAAATATTAGAGATAAGAAGTCTTAATAAGAGAGACAGAATAGCCCGGACTAACCAGATCAAATGCAAGGATCTGGTCAACTTGCACAGTGCTGCTGTGCCCACAGCCAAACTCCCCGGGCCTTCTGAAGCATGCACAGACGACCGGAAGTGATTTCCCTGACATGCCTAGTTGGCCCATTCAAAGACAGAATTATCAGACTGACCTCATTGCGAGCTGCCAGCTAATGACTGTACCCCCAAATGTGCAAAATACATTCCCCAGATCGCAGTTTCTTCTCCCCTTCTTTCTCTCTCTTCTTTTCTATGCTGTGTTTGCCTTTATTTGACTCCACCTACCAACCAACTCCCTCACACATGATAAAACAGCATGTGTGTAAAAAAGGACTAATTGATGTCCTGAGTTTTCTTTGATAGAGATCTCTTGATTGCACGAAAAGATCTTCCAGTCTGTGCTAATGTCCTTCCAAGTAGGACTTACTGAGTTGGCTCTAAAAGAAGCCTGTCTTCTGGATGTTCTCCTCCACCACTCCCTCCCCTTACCCTTGTCTGTGGGTCAGCAGCAATCAACCACATCTGTCACTCCTCTGCCACCCCTTTCACGATGGCTAAGCCCTCTGTGTCCTTCCTGTCTACTTCATACATCTACCTTCTGCTCTAGCCTTGTGTAACTGCTCATTCTCCCCATCGTACGTCTTCCACTTTCCACCGTGGTCCTTTACTCAGAATGTCCTTCCTCCACCTGAACAGGCCTTCTACGGCCTCACCCCCTGGCAGCTAGACTTGCCCTTCCTCCTCTGGTCTCCCCTCTAGCATTTTATTTACACTTCCCTTTTAGTCTCTATCATGAACTACAAATCTCCTGAAAACAGGAACCATGTCTTATCAATTTTATCCAGTAAATCTTTTTGGAATGCCTCGGGTCTTTAGGTAATGCAAAAATAAACAAAACCCAGTTCTTACTCTGAGAGAGATCAGATCTAGTACAGACATGTACATAAAAGTCTACAATAAAATAACGCCATGATATATCTTGCTTTTGCTTTCTTTCAAGACTCTATCTACTAACTTCCTCATTTGTGAGAAAATTTTCATTCAAAATAACTAACTCAATGTCTCTAAATTATTCTTTGACAGGAACCAGATGATTTCATTAAAGGAGGATCAGAAGAGTTCCAAAAGCTTAGGCTCCAAAAACTGTCAGTTTCTCATGAAGTTAAATATAGTTACCCTCTGACCTAAAAATTACTAGGTATAAACGTAATTGTCCACAGAAAAAATTATATATGAATATCATTGCAGCATTATTCATAATACCTAAAAAGAGAGAACAACTCAAATGTCTATCAACTGATGAATAAATAAACAAATGTACTATATCTCAACAATGGAACATTATTCAGCCATACAAAGAAATGAAGTATTGACACATGCTACAGCACGGATAAACCTTGAAAACATTACCTTAAGTACAAGAAGCCAAGCACAAAAGGCCACACGGTTTATGTTTCTGTTTATATGAAATGTCCAGAGCAGCAAATCCATAAACACAGAAAGTAGATTAGTGGTGCCAAGGTATGGGGAGAGGGAGAAATGGCAGTGACTGCTATTGGGTACAGGGTTCCTTTGGGGGTGATAACAAACTGTTCTGGAATTAGACGGTGGTGAAGGTTACATAATCTCATGAAAGAGACTAAAAATCAAGGAATTATACTTTAAAGGGGTAAATGTTATGGTATGTATTATCTCAATTTTTAAAAAATGTATAGACTCAGACTAAAGATCAGTTTCTTTGTGTTTCCCTCTCTCTGTTTTCACATGGATAGAGAGGTTTAGACATGCTGATTTTTCAAACCAGGTACACTTTTTTACTAGTCCCCAAACACTGCATGGGGCACACAGATGCCTTGAGGTGGTGATGGTTGTGGAAAAATCTACTAATACACATCATTTCTTCCTGTCATTGCAAGAAGCACTGCATTTTATGGATCATTTCCTCCGAGAATTTTCAAATTATGTTCCTAATAGGATTTGTGCAGGACTGAGGGGTTTCCTGGGACATGGGACTCTCAATGCTAAACCTAGGAAAGGCCCAGGCAAACTGGGACAACTGGTCACCCAAGCTCCTGAGATACAACAAGAAATGGGTGGTCTCCAGTCCCGAATCCCAACTCTGGTCCTCACCAACAACCACAGTTTCTCTATTTTTATCTCTTTTATATACTAGGCTTTGCCTACACTTCTGTTTAACCCATTTCCCATTTGTTCAGGGAATACTCGAGCAGCACTTGCTGCTCTTTACCTTACCCCCAAAGTCTGCCACGAAATCTCTCTTTTATTATTATTTTTGTATCGCTCTAGTATATCGATAGTCTTTGGAAACAAATGACATCATTCTATTTATAGCATTCTGTTTTTAGTGGTGGTATTTCCACTTACAAAATACAGTAATTCTCAATCGCTGAAAATGTCAAATCCTAGAAAACGTAGTAGCATTCCCACACGAGATGTTAACATCATTCTCGAACAGTTGTTAGCCAAAGATGCATTTGATGAATTCAATTTATGTATACATTTCCGTTACATTAGGATTAGAGAAAAGTTCTGTTTAGAAATAACTCCAAAAACAGTTTTTATATTTTATTTTCACATTGAAGTCAGATTTGCTTCAGCTTCAGGGAGCGTGTGTATTTAAAATTCAATTAACACTGGCAGTGAGCTGCGCTTTTTTCTAAATGGGAAATGGGTTAAGAAAAAAGGGTTCTGTGGCTAAAAAGGGTTTGTTAGTCTTATCCGAGCTGTCATTCTCCTGATGGTCATCAGCCAAAGCCTAGGACGTTCAAAAACTCAGCATTTTCAGGGACGTGAGTCTAATGACTAAGAATTTCAGTAATGGGGAGACTGCGCAAAGGACACCTGGACAAGCTTCAAGGTCAATCATGCTGCCACCCTGGGCAGGGCTGGGCTAAGTTCTTGACGCTGTCCATCACCACTGCTCTTCCAATCAGCAAGTGTGTCTCAAAGAGGAGCTAGAACTCAGTGGAAAGATCCCAAACTTGAACCTGTTAGGAAACCTGAGAGCTTTACAGATGGTTCCTGAAGTCCTATCAGCCAGCACTGACTTTCTATGGTCCTAGACTCTGGTGGCATTCCACCCATAAATCTTTGGCTCTCATCTCTGTATACAGAAGGTTTCTTACTATGAACATGTGTGACTCACTGCCAAAGGTTTCCTTTTCTGGTTGTGTGAGTACGTTCAACCCAAGCCCAAAGTAAGCCAGAAGTGCCAGAGAGTATCAACTCTGCCCTCTAAAGTGGCCCTCAACCAAAACGAATGGGGAATGAGGAGATAAAGAGCCTAGCCTCTTTGCCGGACAGTGGAAGAACTCTGAGGCATGTTCTGCCATCTGCCAGAGCTCCCCAGCAGAGGTGACCCTAGCTGCCCACAACAGTGACCTGCTTACTAACGTGTCTTACGTTTCTTGCTTCTGCATCTCCCTTCCCCCACTCCCCTATTGGTATGGTCAGCGACAACATCCCAGAGAAACCATGCACAAAACTCTTCTCGAGGTCTGCTTCTGAGGGGGGCACCCAATGAGAATTTGATCCTGTCACGTGTTGAATGCAAACAGCAGTGACCAAAAACAAAAACGAAAACAAAAGCAAAAAACAACAACAGCAAAAAGCAAACACACACACAGCAATTCCATGGAAAACACCCAACAGGGAGCTCAGGACTTGCTCAGGACAACTGCATTAGGGAGTTACCCTGCACGATGCACCAAATCCATGATTCACTTAAATTTAATAAAAAGGACTGAATTAAAAGAAATGAATGAGGAGCCGTTTGCAAAACATAAAAGGTTCCACGGGTGATTTTCAAACCTACGATTCAAAGAATAAAAGCTACTTACTTATAGAAGGCCTGGTTCTCCACTCCACACTTCCAGAGATGTTTGCAGGCAGCTGGTGTTGAAGTATGGAATGCCAACATGGCTTTTTTCTAATAAAAAATAGCAAAACGAAAAAAGGCATGTTAAACACAGTTTGTTTTTCATCTTTTTTCCTTCAGGTATTAACCTATTTGTATCCCGACACCTACCAAACAGATTTGGAGTAACCAGTGCATTACTATGTTCTTAGAAGTGTTGCTGAAATGACATTCCCCACCCTCACCCTCTGCAGACATCACTAATCTATCCAGACCTCATTTCTGATAAAAAGCAGGCTCACCATCTTCAACTCTTCAGGCATCACCTACCTCTCAATCAGACTTCGATTTGTTTAAAAACTTATTTTCTAACCTTGAATTACTACTGTTTGAACTGAAAAAGTAGGATTAGGAAAATCCACAAACTTCCAGACTAGATCTGAGGCTCAAAGTCTCAGTAATGGCCTCTTCCCAAATGCCTTCCCCGGTGAACCCAACCTATATCTGGTAACTCCTCTATTTTCAGAGTCTTAGATCTTATAGAAACTGTTTGTAAAACTCTAACCAGCATGGGAGGATATCTAGCTTTACAAGTATTTTTCACTTGTTTCATAAATCTGCATTTTGGCAAATTACAGAGGTAGAGGGAGGTCCCATTTTCTATTGCTCAAATCTATCCCAGTGTATTTTTCACACAGGGATACGTGATCAGCATTGTTCACTGACTTTATTCTTAGCTGTGCAAACCCAGTGTGTGTTTGTTTACCTGTAAAATGTTCCCAGCGTATAGCTTCCTTTCTCGTCACAAACTTTAAAGTCATGGACTTTTGGGGCTACAATGCTAAAGGCCTATTTTATGCTTGAATCTCTCTCATGTGCACACACGTGCACATACATGCTCATACTCATGTACACACATGTTCATACTCATGCATACACAATAACAGATAATTAGGAAAGCAGTATCTGACCTCTTTCTGGGTGCCAATCACATAAAATGTCTTCCCTTCAAACTTCAATTTGCAGACATCCGGCCTAAGAAAAGAAAATCTCTATGGGTTAGAGGGAAAAAAAGTGGCAACTAACCAAGATACCTGGCTTTCCCACAGGAATCTGGCTGACTCACAAATGCCAAACAGACTGCAATGAAACAAGATACTGTCTTATCATCAGTGAAGGCCTATGAGCATTGAAAAGCCCCCAAGTGAATTACACAGCAATTTTTTCGCAAGAGAGGATCTAAAGGCAGCTTAAAATTATTCCATTTTTTTACGATGAAGCTGCACCTTTCTTCCAAGGATCAATTCAAGAGGTTTCTTAAACATTAATGACCAAAACAACATTAACCGGCAAGCCCATCTTGTGAGGCAGGAAGAATGTGGTTATTTCAGATTCAGCTAATGAGATGATATGGATTTACAATATCTGTTCCTTCCTCCTCTCACATCTATGCCCAAGAAGCCCACACACCACGCTGTAAAATTTTCATTTTTTTTTTTATATGAGAATATCTTATTATATATTCAGATGCTCAGAATTGTGAGGACAACTTAATGAATGATAAATTATAGTCAAAAGAGTGACTTTAGTTTCATCTTAAGAAGTTGCTTGATTAAAAACTGCCAGAAATGTAGACTCTAGGTTGCCTTCTTGGTGAGAAAATATGAGTAAATAGAGCAGAGAATTCTACTTTTATTCCTTTGATCTAACTCCTTGGATATTGATGTGTGCCCCTGTGCTTTTTTAGTTTAGGCTGTTTTAATTTAGGCAGAAGATTTGCAAGTTCTACAAATCTCAATGGATGTTAAAAAAAAAAAACAACTAGAATTAATGTGAGAATAAAATTTGTTTTAGTAACATGTACATGGCTGTTAGAAATACACATGCCTAAGCAGAGGCTGTAGAGGATGGGTTGCATCAGCATCCCACCGGGGACACCAAGATGTAGAACCAAAAACAAATGGTTGGATTGTCTATTTCAACTCTTCAATGTACACAGGAAGAAACTGAGGTTCAAAAAGAAGAGAGACTTGCAATTAATCTGTACTTGAGATGTATCTGATTCTAACCTAACTACTTCAGGGCTCAAGCAATTCAAAACGTGAGGGTCTAAAACCTTTTAGGACCTCCAAGCAATTCCAGTCCTAGGATAGGATGGGGGAAAGTCCCAAATTACCCATGCTCCCCAAAGACAATAGGAATCCCTAGGGCATTTATTCTAAAATAGACTGAACAGTGATTAACATTGGAGCTTCTTTACAAGGTGCTGAAAATACAGAGAAAAAAAACTGGATACCACCACCATGTTACATTTATGTAACATCACAGTTCACAAATCACATCGCTCTCACACACCCTATTTCATTCGCTTCTCCCCATCTCCTTTCCGCCCTATAAGGCAGTCAGAAATCATTGATTCCCATTTTATGGATGAGTGCCCTGAGATTCAGAGAAGTTAAGTGACTTATTAAAGGAAAATAAGAGTTTTGAGAATGCTAATTGTGGAAGAGGAAAACAAGTGGGCACAGAGGGGAGTTGGAAGTATGAATTCGTAAAAGGCGGTGATAGAGAAGGCAAGGAAGATACTTAGAGAAACTAGGCATCTTAGAAAGAGAAGGCTGTCATACAAAGAGTGGAAGGTGTAGGGAGAGGAGTGGACATCGGCTGACTAATGCTAATCTAGTAAAGAAGGTTTGAAAGGAAGGCGGGTGCCATGGGGAGAATGCTAAGAAGGTGAGGAGGGCTACTTGATAAAGAGGTGCTGGAAGAAATCCTGAAGGTACCGAACCATGAAACTGAGGTTCAGGTCAGTGCAAGAGAGCATTTCTAACACAGGACTGAGGATGGACGCCCAATGTCCCATCAAGGAGAACTTCAGACCCAAGAGCTCAGGTCAAAAAAGTGAACTCACCCCACAATGAGACAAAACAGGGGTGGCAAACCTCTCAGGGACCATCAGAGAAGGAACTAAATCAGGCTGAAGGTATGAACAGGACTAAGCCTTTACAATATTCCATCACAAACATAAATGTTCAGCTTTTTCCATTCTACCAAAACCATTTTCTCCATGATTAGGCATAGTAGGTAGTGTTGGTCACCTACTCCACTCTATCATTCCACTTCTTCACTGACACATCTAGACTTTATTCTTCCTCAGGGTCATATATATTCACGCAGATCACACTCTTCCCCGTCCTGAGAAGATGGATCTTCATTTGGCCAACTCAGTCAAGGAGTTCCCATTCTTCTCAGAAGGACTGGTTTAAATAGGCACATGTTACCCAATGCTGCCCAATTAGATAAGCTCCTACAGGGCTTCTGAAAAAGTTATCCTTGTTTTACGAGCAGACATATGGAAGGGCTGCTCTCCTCCTGGCTCTGAGTGTTACTGTGTGAAGCAGTGATGGCCAGAGTTGCATGCGTGACCATTTTATGAGCCTAGGGACAAAAGCCAGCACCCTGTAATGGCAGAGACAAAAATGGAGAGACCCAAAGGCTGTGTGGTCAGTCATTTAGGTTAAAGGATAGTGGAATTGTCCAATCTCTGCAACTTTTGCTTTGTGAGATAATCAGTCTTCTTAATTATAAGCCACTGTGAGCAGACATTAATTGACCAAAAGCATCTTAGCTGATACACTAAATAACAAAAGTTAATTAAGTCTACAGCAAAGATTTGACAGAATATAGTGGAGAGAAGTGAGTGGGAGAGAATGAGTCCTGAGTTGCTTGAGGGAACTTGCACCTTTACCCACCCTGACCCACCCACAGTAGCCCCTCTGGTCAGAGCAGAAGCTACTGGTGAGCAAACATTGGACACCTCGTTGGAGGCAGAACCCCTGAGCTCAGGCCACACCCCAAGTCTCCCACATTGACTCCTTGACTCCTCAGCTTGACAAATCCAATTCTCTGCTGAGACAGGGCAACCTAGACTGAGTTTCATTTATAGCTAATAAATCCCTTTGTAATCAAGCTCTAAGGCAAAGAAATTGATACTAGGCATTCTATCTGATGTCCCCACCACCAACAACAAAAAAAGTCAAAGGTGGGGAAAGAAAACAAGATTAAGAAAAATGGTCAGCCAGTTTTCCAAAGAAATACTCACCATTTAATCAAATGGATTCTCTTATTTCCCTGAAATACCACAAAGCCTGCAGCAGTAAATCCCAAAAATGTTGTTGTGCCTGTTGAGTCCTGCAAAAAAATAAAAATAAAAACATATTTGGACTGAGGGGTATCAAATAAATGATAAATGGTATGCTTATTCAGCCTCACCCTGGGTTAATTTCTGGTTAATTCTAATGACTGCAGCAATAAACTAAGTTTCTGAGATGTGACTCCCAAGAATAGGACATCTAAAACCCGGGAAAGGTCCAGAAATATGTAGTTTTTCCCTTTGAAAAACAGAACTGCCTCTCCAGGAACCTCCAGTGAAAGTACAGATTAGTCTCAAACAACTATCTACTTCCAAGTGTCTTGTGGGGCCACCTGGGTTCTCAGATCTGCTCTGTAATGTGAACAAATTGCTCTTGGTTGTCATTAGCTCTGAAACCAAAGATGCCATGAAACTGAAGCCCTGAGCATCTACTCTAGCTTGACTGAATCCCACACAGGATTTCTGGCAATTTTAATATAAAGACATGCCAGAAATGCTTACTTTGCTTCCAGCCTCAACCAGGAAACTAAGCATTAAGGCTAAGAAACAACAATAACAACAATCTAGTCAGTCTCCTAGATAAAAAAAAAAAATTAAAAAAATAAAAAAATAAAAAAACAGAGGCTCACATTTGTGGATAAAATCTAATTCACTAAATGGAATAATCTGATTTGTACCATAACTAGGAAGAGGTATCTGGCAAATATTCTAAAATAATTGTGTGCGCAGCCCACAAGATGCCCAGGCCAGGGTGGACAATTATCACCAGCTCTTGGCCTTGGCTGCATGTTGGAATCTTCTGGAGAGCCTGATCTGCACCCTAACAGATCCTGTAGGAACTGAGCAGGAGTTTAAGAAGTTCCCCACATGCCTGCAATGAGGAGCCTGAGCTGAGAGCTCTAGGACTGGTACTTGACCAAATACTACTGTCCGGTGCCATGTGGAGAAAGTAATGTTCCAGTATGACTCAAAAACTTGCCTTTCAGAGCCTGGCTGATATAAACACTTAGTTCAGAATTTGGGTTAGCATCTGGTTAATATGTAGTTCGTTAAAGGTATGGAAAAGAGAAAACTTTTCATAAACCATTTCCAGAAAACGTGAGCATCACCTTGGGAACTTGTTTAAAAGGCTGATTCGCCAGCTGCACACACCATTGATTCTAAATCAGTAGCTCTGGGGGTGGGGCCAAGGTGATTCTAAAACACACGGTCTGGGTTTCATCCTTGAGAGAAATACTATCAAATAATATGAATAAAAGATAAAGAAAAACAAATGCCCCTAATGTCAAAATATAATTTTAAATCTTTCTTCCACTTTTCTGTTTTTTAAGACTGCATTCTTGCTGGAAATGACCTGGAAAATAAATAGTATTTTCTCAGGGGTAAAACCATCCACTTGATGAATGAATCCATGTATGTTAATTTAGGAATATGTGGCTACTACACAGCAATTAGCAAGCAATTGGTAGAGTCCAATGGAGAAAACCAACTACCGAAACACCTGACTGCAGCCCACTGTTGTCCCTTCCAATTAGGGTTGGTGGGTCAGGCTGTGGAAATGTCCTAGGAGGGGTCTGCCAGTAATACAGACCAATTAACTCTTTTTTAGGCAAAATAGTCGTTAAATGTCGACCTTCTGTGAGAGGCAGTTACCTTGCATGGGTGTGGATCCACTCCATAGGTTTCCAAAGTGTGAGCTTTCAGGAGTAAATTAAATTCAGCAACTGGTGGACTCTGGCCTCTAAAATCACACAAGAAAAAGTAGAGGGTTAATATGGAAAATAACAGAAACACAGAATCCCTTCCTTCAATAAAATGCAATCTACTCAACTAAATAGAGAATCCCTACACAAACAGTAATCAGTAAGACTGATTGTTATTCTTCATCACAAGGTGCCCTTTGCCAAGGAATGTAAGCTCCTGTTCCCTGGCTAACTGTTCCATAATAAACCCACAAATACTCTGAGGATTCCCGTGACCCGTACAGTTAATCAAGGTTGTCAAGTTACCAATAAGTAGGCCTTTGAAAAGGCAATCTTAATATGAAATAAAACTTGGCATCTGTCCTTTCCAACTTAATTTAAAAGATTATATAGGATACATGACATTCCTTCTTGCTCAGGGTAGAAAGTGGGCAATCCTGTTACCCCATCAACAAGTCTAAATAGAGCCATCTGGGTAGGAAGAACTGTAAAGCATGCCATTGGAAAGCCCTGGATTTTGAAAGGAAATCTCAGCCCCTAGTCCTAGCACTGTCCTCCAGGATGGTGAACAAGGTCCTGGCCTCAGGGGTGGGAAAAGAGGCTACAAATATAGACAGCTGTGAGAAGTTCTTTCGGGGCTAACTTCCAAACCAGGACTGTGCAGCACATCAAAGACTCAACTTTGACTAACATTAACATCCTGCTTGTAACTTAGAGGATCTGAACCACTCCCCGAGGACAAGTATATAACCCTAACAACCACGAAGAGTTTGCTAAGGAAAACAACAGTTATTTTCAAAGGGTAAACCTATATTGCAATATTAAATCTATTTCCACCTAAGCTTCTCCCCAAAGATAGAGTTCCTCCACTACCCACTCAAGACAGTTGAGTCATCATCATGCCTCTGAACCAAAAAGAATCCCATCTACCTTCTCCTTAAAGCCTTTGAGATCTCTTTACCCTGAGTGTACTGAAATTTCACTCTGATGTGTCTAAGGAGTATCTTCATTCATTCATCGTGATTAGCACTGTGGGGACACTTTTAATTGGCTGTTTCTTTGATCTTTTCTTCCCTTTCCAACCTCCTTCTTTACTCCCAACCATTCTCTCTCTTCTGTCCTAGTAAATGGATTTTGAGACTCCTAGGTCTATCTGCCATGTCTTTTAACCTCTGTTCCAATCTTTAAATCCCTGTCTTTTTGTACTACATTCTGAATTACTTAATTCAAACTTCCAGCCTGTTAATCTATTCTTCAGCTATGTGCATCCTACTTTTCATCCCATTTATGAGTTTTTATAACATCGATTAAATATATCATTTTCAATGTAATATGTACAGGCGGCACACCTCGATTTATTGTGCTTTGCTTTACTGCTTTTCACATCTACCACATTTTTTTTTTTTTTTTACAAATTGAGGGTTTCCGCAACCCTGCGTCAAGCCAAGTCTTTTGGGGCCATTTTTTTCCACAAGCATTTGCTCACTTTGTGTCTCTGTCACATATTGTTAACTTAATCTCACTGTATTTTAAACATTTTCATTATTATATTTTTTATAGTGAACTGTGATCAGTGACCTCTGAAGTTCTATTATAATTGTTTGGGGCACCACAAACTGCACTCAAATAAGAAAGCAACCTTAATAAATGTGTGTGTCCTGACCGCTCCACCAACTGGCTATACCTCCATCTCTCTCCCTCTCTTCAGGCCTCTTGATTCCCAAGATACAACAATATTGAAATTAGACCAATTCATAACCCTACAATGGCCTCTAAGTGTTCAAGCAAAAGAGGCAATCGATGCAGCAAACTTCACTGTTATCTTAAGAAATCACCACAGCTGCCCTAACCTTCAGCAAACAGCATGCTGATCAGTCAACAGTCACCAAACTTCCACCAGCAAAAATTTTATGATTCACTGATGGCTCAGATGATGGTAAGCATTTTTTAGCAATAAAGCATTTTCCACTAAGGTATGTATATTTTTTAGACATAATACTATTGCACACTTAATAGACTAGAGTACAGGGTAAACATAGCTTTAATATGCACTGGGAAACCAAAAAATTCACATGACTCGCTTTATGACAATAAGCACTGTATGAAGGTGGTCTGGAGCCCAATCCACAATATTTCTGAGGTGTTCCTGTATTTGGCTCTTAAAATAGCTGCCTCTTCCTATTTTATAGGATACATTCTTATTTCTCTGAGGATGTCCATATTACTTCTTTTAAAGTCCAATCCTGTTTGCTCTATTAATGCTGCTTTCTTGGTGATGATCTTCTGGTTTGCTGAGTCAGTGTTTCTAATTCAATGAATTGATGTTTCCTTAAGCATTTGGTGATTCTTGGTCAGACACTCATCTTTGTATTTGATGTTACTGATTTAATGCAGTGGCCTCCAGAGATTGTAGGGAAGGATGGGACATGCCACGTGAGAAGAGTGTGTGTCAGTAACCTGATTTCAGGCTGAAGGTTCTAGTTCTCCCGTCAGGGTCAAAGCTGCCCAAATGTGGTTGCCCAGTCAACACGATGGTCAACCTGTGTATGTGCAGCCTGAAGCACCCAAAACCACTCCCGTCCTATATATGTGCTTGCCCTGGAGTTCCTCTGTTTTCTGTCTTCCAGAGATACTTCAGGACCTTTGATCCATCCAAAGATGACATTCCTTCTTGTATCTACTTTCTAATACTTTTTCTATTATCCATAAGAACTTGGAGAAGAAAGAGAAAGTAGCCACATATGCTACCCTTTTCTTTTAATATAAGAAATAATTTTTAAATCCATCCTTTACAGAATATGTTCTTGAGGAATTAACTCAAACTCCTGCTTTAGAAAAATAAAGTGTTTCTAAAGCCTTCCAGGATTTCCTCTTTAGTCAGTGTTCTGAAATGTCACTGGTATGTGAAGGGAGCATCTTCACTTAGTCGCCCTGATCAGCACTGTATGGGTCCTTTCAAGCCAACAACTCCTATTTTTCTTTGACCATTTCTTTGATTTTTTTTTTCAAGTCACAGTCATAATAATTATTTTTCTTCTTGATAAAGTAACAATAGATTCTACAAAGTCACCAACTATATTAATGGGGACAGAAAAAGGATTTTTTTTAAAGTTGTCTCAGTTTATACAGGTATTTCTCCATAGCTCTCCTATAAATTCTTAAAGTAATATCTTACCTTTCACAAGATAATTATTGAATCTAAATATTGGGTCTTTCTCGCCCCCTTCCCCGAAACTCACACAATCTCTCCTTCTCTCTCACTCACTTGTACACTCATCTCGCTCCCCTCCCCCCAACTGCTGACTAGGGACAAAGCACAAAGCTGAGCTATCCAGCATGTTACTAAACAGAGCCCCCTCTCTGGTGGCCCTCAGTGCAAAACTTCAGCCTAATGGGGCCTACATGAACCAGGACAAGAGCCTAAGCAGCACAGAGCCTCCCTCAGCCACTGGACATTAGCTGCTCCAAGATAATCCTCCCACATGGCACGAAAAGCCCTCACTTTGCCCACACTAACAGGAAGTCCTCTGCTCTAGAGAGCTGGCCATTCTCCTTAGTGGTCAACCTGTCAGCACCTCTATATAAGCCACACATTGCTTATTCTTCAATTCAAGTTTGGTTTTAAAGCACACCCTTCTTTTCCAGTCAGTCTGGGGAACAAGTTAATGACTAAAAGTTATAACTCGAAAGTTCATGTTGGAAACAGTATATTTTGCTTGCCCAAGTGGTCTCTTTCTGAATTTTCCTGTCCTTTGTAAATCGGATGGGCATCTGATCTCTAATCGCAAACACTCAACCCCGGATGGCAGCAGGTGCAGTGCCACACAGCTCCAGGGGACATGCCACTAAGCTTAAAGACCTCTGTTCATCGGGAGATACTATCCAGGGTGTGAAAAGGCAAGCCCCAGTATGGGAAAAGATTTCGGCAACATGTACAATGATAAAAAGAACTCCTATGTATAATTTTTTTAAATCCCATAAATCAATAAACAATATTTAAAAAAGAAGAAGAAAAAGACAACTCAGAAGAAAAATTGGCAGAAGACTTAAACAGGCTCGAATAAGATATTCAAATAGTCAACCATCACATGACAGTGTGCATAACCTCTTTCCGATAAGGAAAATACAAATTAAAACTGTGAGAAATCATACACATATCCATCTGACAGCTAAAATTTAAAATACAATACTAAGTCCTCAAGAAGATGTGCTGCAAAAGCAACTCTCACATACTGTTGGTGGAAGAGCAATTTTGTAGACCTATCAAAAAATTAAACTGAACAGAATTTTGGAACTCTGGCATTATCTACTAAAGTTGAGCATGTTTACCTTGTAATACAGCAATTCCATTCATAGTTACAGATGCAACAGAAACTGGTCTATGTTGCACCAAGAAATATATAGAATTTTCATAATAGTGCCATTTGTAATAGCAAAAAATAGGAAACAACTTCAAATGTCTATCAACAGCAGAATAGATTTAAAATGGAAAACTATACAGCTATGAAAATAAATGAATTAAATCTACCACAACAATATGGGTGACTACTGCAAAAATTAAACTGAACAAAAGAGGCTAGATACAAGTGACTACATGCTGAATGGATTCCATTTACGCAGCTTTCAAAAATGAGAAGAAACTAAAGTGTTAAAAGTCAGAGATGTGACTTCCCCTTTGGGGAAGAGAGACAAGGCAAATATTGGGAAGGGGAATAGGGACTTCTGAGGTTTCCAACTCTCTTGGGCCTGGGTGGCAGTTACATACGTGCTTGCTTTATAACAATTCATTGAGCTTTACACTTACGCTTTATGCACTTTTCTGAATCTGTGTTATACTTCGGCTTTTAAGAGTTTATTTAAAAAGGAAAAGAAAGAAAAAAAAGGATGTGAAGAACTGGGAACCTCACATACTGTCAGTGTGAATATAAGCAGGAGCAAACAAGCTACAATATCCTAGAAAAACTGAAGTTGTGAAAACTCGGGGACCCAGCAAATTCCACACCAAGCTTTGCATATGGACTAGGGACTCCTGTACATG